GTTACGGCAACATATTGGTCGTCAAAGGGAAAGCCCAAGATCACTGATCTCGAATATGCGAAGGAAACGTCCGACCTCGGTGCGCATCATGGTGTCCGGACGGTGGGTTTTTATTCGGTAACTATCTGTGACCATCTGAGGAATCACCCAAATCTTCCTAGGGAACGCCATACTTCATGTCAGAAGAGGTCCGCGCATCTCGTTACAACTACATACCTGCCAAGCCGCGAAATACCCGATTTACGAAGACAAGTGTTGCGGACAGACTTCAGCGCACCATGCGGGATCATGAGACGATTCCCCCTCACGTGCAGACATCCCAGCAGGAGAGTGGACCACGCACTGTCCCCAAGTCAGCTCCCAACGAAGCCGCCGATCCTACTCTATCGCTTCCAGATACGACACGTCCGAACCGCATCATATTTCGCCACAATCCTTTACACGACTACGAATCGGTCCTATGGCTATTACTCTTCGTTCTTCTCGTCTCCGAGTACGAAAACAGCGAGCTCAACGAAAGAGGAGAACGCAAGTACGATGCTCAGACTTTCCAGGGCTTCATGGATGCACAGCGTGCCTTGGCCTGGAACCTCTTCTGCGAACCCGATCATCGAGTGTTGGTAATGACGACCACGAAGTACCTGGCGGGGCAGACTGACGGCCTTCATCCCACTGTTGCCAAGATCATCTGCGAGCTGGACTTTATGTGCTCCGACTTGGTGGGCGCCTTCAAGGACGCGGAGAAGGACCTCAAGCCAGGGGCCGAACCAATCTCGATGGATTGGTCAGCTGTGAACGAACAGCTCAGCCAGAGCATTACCACCATTATTTCTATCCTTGAGCAGACGCCACTTCATCTTCTCAAGGACATCACGAAGAGGACGCGTAGACTGATCAAGCCGAAGGGCGCCGGGAATGAAGAGATGGGGAGAGGAGTCGGAGACACTGCCAACGTCGACGGCGATTCAGGCACAGACGAGGACCAGGACGGCCGACGAGTCAAGGTCCGGAGGGTCGGAGGAAGCAAGGATGTGTCGTCTTCCTCGAGGGCTCAGCCTCCGATCCCTTCACTTACGACGCTTATTGCGGCTGACCACGGCTCCGATTCTGAGCAGTGACGATGTGTTCGACAAATGATTATCATTTATGTACCGTACCCTCTTCATGCATTCACGCAGATACACTTTCTCGCTCTTCACAATTTCAATCCGATGTGATACTTCCGTACAGTCAAGGGTGGGTGTGGGTCGCGCAGTCAAGATTGATATTTAATCCAAGGCATTCTTTCTTCAGGGCCGTTGGTCGCTCGTACGCTACTGGCTAGGGCTAGGCTGTTTGTCGTCCGTTCTTCACAATTTCAATTCGATATGATAGTTCGGTACAGTCAACGGTAGGTGTGGTCGCACCTGACCCAGAGAGTTGGGTTAGAGTTTACCCGGTCACTTTGCGCGTCTCCTCGCCACAACAGTAGGTTGGCCATAACCTACTACCCCCATGAGTGCTTTACTCTTGTTTTCATTACTGCCACTCGTACATAATGAGAAGCTCCTTTTGGGAAACAGTCTCAGAACTACCCTATAAAAGTGGACCTGTCTTGGACGGTGGCAGTCCTCGTCCAGACCCAGTATGGCTCAGCCCCTCAAATCCAACTTCATTGCTCACGCGTCTGAATCGACTCCTTGGACTTTCAAGCGAGCACAGAGCATTCCTGTCACTGCTCGTGTTGACGATTACTCCGACGCCGTCTGTCTAGATCTCAATGAGTCCGTCACCGTGGTGGCAGCAGACGACTTCCGCAGACAGCTCCTCCCGGAACTTCGACCAGAGATCGACGTCGACGCGGTCCTGCAGGAATGATGATGGGACGATTCAATCAGGCCGGTGGGCCCTCTTTCCATCTGATCCCAAAGACATGATGACGCCACCACCACCCAAACTCACACCCATGCATGAAGACGAGGTATTCAAGAAGTTCGCAGAGCTAGCCAAAGCCGTCGAAAATGCATGTCTCCACGTCTCGACAATCACAGATACGAAAAGGCTCTGTGAGTTCAAGTGCAATCCCTCGCGGGTACCAATGTGTCTGTCCCGTCATAACACCTCGCGGCCCGACAGTTATGCTATCCTGTCTTGTGCGAAGGCGGTGAACGATCCAACTGAGAAGGCACAGTGGGTCGAGGTCGCTGTTCCGGGAGAGTTCAAGAAGAGTGATAGTTCCGACGCTAGCTGGGATGTGAGTACTACTCTGTGTCTTTCCTCCTCCCCTCGCCGCAATCACGCTCGTTCGCTTACCCGACCTTTCAGGACCGAAGGAAGATACTATGGTCGATGTACCACATCCTGCGGGACGATGTGTGAAGGATATTCGTGTTTGGGTTCACGATTGAGAATCGGATGATGCGCTGGTGGTACTGCAGTCGCACTGAGGTTTTCGTATCGGCTCCATTCGATTTCATTCAGGTGAGCATGAAGCCAGTGTTGTGCGCTTGTGACTTGACATTGACCATTTGAATGCAGGATCACAGATCTGTAGTTGAATTCCTGCTCTGCGTCGCGTTCGCGGAAGAGCACCAGCTCGGTTGGGATCCTACGATCAAGAGGCTTCCACCGACGCCTATCCACCCATCGCCACGATGCGAGATCATCATCAAGGACACCTCCCAGGGCGAGGTAATTGAGAAGACTTACCGGACGAAGGACCTGATTTGGAACTACGGGGCCGACGCCCTTCGAGGCCGGGGTACAAGAGTGTGGTCTGTCGTGGAGGTGGATGCGGATGGCAATGAAGGCATGAATCTGTACGTTCTCAAGGATTCATGGGTGGACGTCGACAGCGAACGAGAAGGCCGCATCAACCGGCGGATAAATTCTTGCACTGTCGAGCGAGGCAACACGCTCGATTTACAGGTATTCACCAAGATCTTCATGCAAATTCAAGCATTCGGCGACGTGTATATCGGTTCGCGTGTTGATAGGACGGATAGCTTCAAAGTCGACAGATCTGGCGAAAAGCTTCCGGCTGAAGGCAAGTTCACCGTCACGGTACCAACCAACGTCACCTGTTCGACTAAACCGCGACAGCTCGTGCTACATTACCCTCACAAGGTGCATCACCGCACTGTCTTCAAGGATGTGGGAAGGGACCTCTCAGAGGTGGATACGCTCCTCAAAGTTTATCGCCTAATCGGACAAGTACTTCTCGGTGAGTCATTACGCGTCTGAATTGCTTTGTTCTGGCTCTAATCTCGAGCAGGGCTACACGTTTTGCACTCAGCGAACTGGGTCCACCGCGATATCAGTTACGGTAACATATTGGTGATCGGAAGGTACGCCAAGATCATCGATCTGGAATATGTCAAGGACTTATCCGACCCCGGTGCGCATCATGACGTCCCGACGGTGGGTCTTTATTCGGTGGCCATCTGTAACCATCTGAGGAATGACGCGGATCTCTTAGGGGACGCCATACTTCATGTCAGAGGAAGTCCGCACATCTCGTTACAACTATGATGACCCTTGTGCCACGGTGCAAAGTACCTCGTTGGCGGGGAAAAGTCATGACACCATGACGGAGGGTTTACTGCAGGATCCTGCAGCGACTCTGCCTCCTGTGCAGACAGCTCAGCCGGAGGCTGGGCCCAACACTGTCTCCAATTCCGCTCTCAACGAAATCACCGACGCTGCTCTACCGCATCCAGACACGACGCATCCGGGCGGCGTCATATTTCGTCACAATCCTTTGCACGACCACGAATCGGTCCTGTGGCTCTCCCTCTTCGTCCTTCTCGTCTCCGAGTATAGGAACAGCGAGCTCAACGAGAAAGGGGAGCGCAAGTACGACGCCCAAACTTTCCAGGGCTTCATGGACGCACAGCACGCCTTGGCCTGGAAGCTCTTCTGCGAACCCGGTTATCGAGTGGCAGTAATATTCGCCCCGAGCTATCTGACGCGATAGACAGACGGCCTTCATCCCACTGTTGGCAAGATCATCTGCGAGCTGAGCAGTATGGGCTCTCACCTGGTAGACGCCTTCAAGGACGCGGAGAAGGACCTCAAGCCAGGGGTAGTCGGACCAATCTTGACGAACTGGCCAACTGTGAACTGGCAACTCGGCCAGAACGTCCTGAGGATCATGTCCATCCTTAAGCAGACGCCACTTCATCTTCTCACGGACATCACGAAGAGGACACGTAGTTTCGTCAGGCCGAAGGACGTCGGGAACGAGGAGAAGAGGAGGGAAGACGGAGACACTGCTAATGTTAACCGTGAGTCAGGCACAGACGAGGACCAGGACGGCCGACCAGCCAAGATTCGGAGGGTCGGAAGAAGCAAGGATGCGTCATCTTCCTCGAGGGACTCAGCCGCCACTGGCAGTCCCTTCACTTACGACGCTCATTGCGGCTGACGTGGCACGGCTCCGATTCTAAGCCGTAGTGACGATGCGCCCGACGGATTATTATTATTTATGTACCATACTCTCTTCGTGTATCTGCGTAAATACACTTTCCCGCTCCCCACAATCTCGATTCAATACGATAGCTCCGTACAGTCTAGCTAGGGAGGATGCGGTCGCTCAGTCAAAGTTGATGTTCAACCATCCAAGGCGTTCTTTCTTCAGGGCCATTGGTCGCCCGTACGCTACTAGGCCGGGGTTTGGCTATTCGTCATCGATCTTTAGCCTACTACAAGTTATCTGAGGAAGAGCGAGACTGCTGGCAGGACGAGGTATGCGAAGTTGGGGAGCAGATGGAGACAGGCATGGGCGCCTGTAGAAAACAAGGTTATAAATGCGCGCGCGCGAGTATTGATACCATGCGTTAAATTGCTGCCAGCAGTTGCGACTGGCGAGTTTCCGACCGCTTTGGGGCCAGGTGATATTTACCAGTTTGCTTCGACCCGGCGCGCCCGCCGGTGCTTACATAATCCGGCAGGACATCCCCGGCCTCCCGTGGCATTTTCTGCAATATCCGAGGGTATCCTGGTAAAACGTATTGGCCCATACTGGTCTATCTTGGCACCATGAAGCCAGAAGCACGGAAGCTGAGTCAAGCTTCAGCTTCAGCTTCAGTTTTCATCGATTTCGTTTCCTCCTTGCTCGCGACTCTCATGTCCCTGCTGCCAAGCCGCAAATACGGTACACTACTGTTAGAGCTCTAGGTAAGCTGTCTCCTCCTCTACTTTAATTTCACCTCCTCTTCACCGTGGCATTACGGAGACACTATGCGATAATGAGAGCGGTTTCGGCACTGGGTGATCCAACATTTAACGTTCAGCCTCCGCTATTCGTTCATATCTTCAGATTGCTCACGAGATCAACGCATTCAGAAGCGTGTCGGAGGCAGCAGGGGCATATATACTGGAGGATTCAGACTGGAGCATATCATCTCTTTACTGTTATCGAGACGACTCACGATAGCCAGAAACAGACAACGCATATGGCCTCGGAAGACGTAGACGGCCACTCTCTGTCAAACTATCCTGACGATGACGCGCTCTTGCAGGAGATGGGTTACAAGCCCTCTCTCGACCGCGAGTTCACGAGCCTATCTACGGTGAGCTCGTTTGTTTCTCTGTGCCACCGCGCGTCCTGACATGGGTCTCCGCAGATAAGCTTCTCCTTCAGCTTCCTAGGCTTGTGTTCGAGCGTCGCAGTGACGTTCAACACGCCGCTGCTGTCCGGTGGCCCTGCATCGGTCACTTGGTGTTGGTTCCTCGGGTCGTGCATGTGCCTTGCTCTAGGTGAGCGCCGCTCTTATCTAGAGTTCCGCGAATTGGACAAGCTGAACAGAACTCCTCCTTTCAGCCGCGAGTGTCGCCGAGATCGTGAGCGCGTTCCCTACCTGTGGTGGAATGTAAGTATCCATTCTCGGCCGTGATCGCACGTCGTGTGACCACTTGCGATAGCTTAAATTTCCACCATCTTTTTTTCCGTGAATATCCTTGGCGAAGGCTGACGGTGATTCTTTGATGAACTTAGATATACGGCTTCGGCAAATTTGTGCCCGCCGCGTCTTCGTCCGGTGGTTGGCTGGATCATAGGATGGCTCAGCGTACTTGCGCAGATTGTCGGGTTGTCCTCTGCCGAGTTCGGACTGACGAACATGATATGGGCCGCTGTCGTCATTGCGAAGGTAGGCTTCACTTTCGCGCTCATATACTTTTCTGGGATTTTAAAAGGCTGACGTGCTTCTAGGACGGCAACTACGACGTCACAGCCGGCAAAGTTGTTGCGCTTTGCACTGGGCTTCTCATCGTTCATGGCTCGCTGGTACGCTTTTGTGCACGAGATCATTGCACACGAATGTGAATTACTCCTTCGATCCTCAGAACAGCCTCGCTACTCGGCACCTCGCTCGTCTTACCTCCGGATTTGTGTTCATTAACCTTGGAGCAACGCTGAGTGCGCCCGTTTTATCGGTTTCAGCTCACGGTTCCTGACATTATGCGTCTAGTTATCGTCATTGTCCTGCTTGCGATGACCCCTCGCCACGAGATGCATAGCGCATCGTCCGTATTTGGCTCCGAAGGCGTTGTCAACAATGCTACAGGCTGGAACAATGGTGTTGCCTTCCTGTTTGGCCTGTTGAGCGTACAGTGGACGATGACCGTAAGCAGGATTTGACTATGTGATGCTGCTGCAGCTGATCATCGCTCAGGGTTACGATGCCACCGCACACGTCTCGTAAGATATTGATCTCAATAATTCCGTTTCGTATTCCTCATACACCTGGTGCGACAGAGAAGAGGTTAGGCGTGCCTCCTACCTTGGTATATAGCTTTACCTTTTTTTCGATATCACAACACTGACACCGACTGCCTGCAGCGCCTTTCGCAATATTCATTGCAGTGGCAGGGACTGGCGTAATCGGCTGGCTTCTGAACATTGTCCTCGTGCTATGTTCCGGACCATTGTACGGCTCTCTGCAGCATATTCATTTCGCTTCTTATACTGATCGACGTTTCCAACAGCGAAAACCTACCAGGCCCGTCTGACTCCGCATTCCTGCAGGTGCGCCGGCCCCTGTGTCCTCCTAGCACCTTCCTCACACTCTTTACAGATCCTCGTACTGCGCATCGGCAAGCCCGGCGCGCTCTTTCTGTGGTCCCTCGTCTGCCTCACGGCGTTCTTCGTGGCCCAGACAGGCCTGCAGGCGGGCTCGCGGACGATCTATGCCTTCAGCCGGGATCACGGCCTGCCAGACGGCGGCTTCTTCGGGCGCGTGAGCACGCAGACACGCACGCCGCTCCGTGCAGTCTGGTTTACGACGTTCGCAAGCGTGTTGCCGGGCCTGCTCGACCTCGCGAGCCCCATCGCGGCGAACGCGATCTTCGCCATCACAGCCATGGCCTTCGACCTGTCGTACATTGTGCCAATATTCCTGTGTGTGCTGATTCTTTCTTGTATGTATGTGCGGCGCTGACGATAGTTTTTGTAGGCGAAGGGTGTACAGTGGGCATCCCGACGTCCGTTTCAGGCCCGGACCATTCTACATGGGCGACGGCTGGTTCGGGTGGTTCGTCAACGCCGCGGCCGTTCTCTGGACGCTCTTCGTCTGTGTCATCTTCTCGATCCCGAACGAGCTGCCTATCACAGGCGAGAACATGAACTATGCGTCGGTGCGTTGTTATTTCTGCTCTGCCAGATTTATGCCCACGTGCTAACTTTGAAACCATCCCGCCAGCCCATCACCGGCGGCGTTGTCCTCCTATCGTTGTAAGTGTCTCATCGCCTTGAAACCACGGTTTTCTGATGTTTGTGTCAGGGTATGGTACTTCTTAGGGTGCGTCAACTCAAACAATTGGTATCGCGAGGTGAGTGGAGCTAACTCATCAGTCGCAGAGGCAAACGACACTACCATGGCCCGGCGCCGACCGTCGACCGGCAGGGCGACGAATCGCGATCGCTGGAGGACGTCAAAGCTGACGATGCTCATGAAAAGGATGATGCATGATGGCGTAGTATATAATAGTGCCACAATCTTTGAATCAGGTTGCCAAGTCCGGAGCTCGAGACGACCTTTCAATGGCATAATCGGCAAAATCTTTCGCTGATCACCCCACCCACATTGGCAGAAGTCGAAGACGAGATGGGCCGCGCGACGTAGGCTGACCAACTCAGGCCACATTGATTGGCCGTTCGATGCCAATCTCAGAAGATGTAAGAACGTAAAGCTGCATGGCGGGGCATAAATATATATATCAAAAATTGACGTATGAATCAAGAAAAGTGCATTAGTAAGACGTGCGAAATTGCGGTCCACTACTCGAACAGTAACGTTGTGATACTCAGGCCTGGAAGCGAAACAGATGAGGAGGCCCCGAAAGTCTGCCAATCCACACTTGGACTCGTCATTGCACTGCCGATAGAGGTACCAAGCCCTGCCTGCGAGGGCTGGACGGAGACTGTGTTGTTCTCCATGTTCATCAGGATCAGCGAGGAGTGAGCCGTGCCAAGCGGCGTCGACTGCTGAGCAGGGTTCTTAAACGCCATACCGAAAACGTTCGATGGCAAACCGCTGACATTGAAGCGCGTCGAATTCATCCAGATAAAGTTTGCGAAGTGTTTCATGAGGAAGAGGCGCTTGGTCTGGTACAGAGCGGTGTTCTGGTTCGTCGCATAATCGGGATCGTAATAAATCTGCAGCTTTGCCATGAGTTTAATCCGAAGGTACAGTAGCTCAACACCAACCAGGCCATCATTCCAACCGCCTGAGTTTGGTACGGTGGGGCAGGTTGGATCATCAAGTGGTGCGCAGCCGATGCTATTCGACAGGGATGTCCAGAAGTCAAAGTGAGCATCAATCCTGAGGGGAATTTAAGCATGGACACATGGAATGCGAAGACAACACTTACGCTTGGGTGAAACTTTGATAGACAAGCTGTCCGAGCTGGAGAGCGCCGATCATTGTCGGTCTTCACGACTGTATCAGCGGGTATATCACCAAGAAGCGTCTGATATGCTCACTCGTATATGCTAGAGTATTCTAATGGCGCAGCAGGGTTGTTCTTCTGGCTGGAATCCGCCGCCTTGAAGCAGCAAATCTCGGTAAACCACGTATACACACCGCTAAGGTTCCTCCCAACACTGCCCATCTGTGCTACCTCCGCGTCGCTGCCAAACCCGTACTGGTGGTGGCTTACAGCTGCAAGTGCGCCCTTCTGCACCTGCGGTATCCATTCCGGTGCTTCAGGAGTGAAGTTGCTTGTCTCGGATGACTCATCGGCCATGATGCCGACGGACTGCAAGCCGGCAGCATCGAGGGTGGAACGAAGGGTGTTGACAACCGATGCGCGCTGCTGAGGCGTAACCTCCATGCCTTCCTGTGTGCAGCTCCCAAAAGTCTAAAGTATACCGGCATGTATCAGCAAGCAGAATATGCAAGCGGGTATAGGAGACGCACATCGTCGGGCTCGTTCATCGGAGACACATGAGTGAAGACGACACCTTCCTCCTTCCAATGGGAAATCACATCGGCGAGATACTGGGCATAAGCTGGAATCTGTGCATCTACGAGCGTCCCACCGCAGGAGCGTTTGTTACTGGTCATTGTCGTCGGGGCCGAGTTCACGAAGGCGGTGATTTGCGGGACTTCGTACTGCGAGGCTTTCTGTAGGAAATACACACCCGCTGCATCGGCAGACCAGTTGTATACACCTTGCGAAACGTAGAATGTCTCAGGTGCACGCCTTTGCAAACCAAGGATTATGAAGTCAGTAGCTGGCAAAACCTACGGTTCAATAATTCTGCGACGCACGTTGGGTTGCTGACACCAATGCCTCCTCCTCCGACATTGTAGCGGTACGAGGACAAGCCTGCGCCAGATGGGCCAAAGAGGAGTTCTGCGACCTGTTCACGCACGCTCTCGGGGAAGTTGAACACGTCATTCGGCCACCATGCCCCGCTCGCACCGATACCGTTGACAACTTGACTAGGTGTCGTAGACACAGTAAAGCTTAGATCACGGGAAGAATCGATGTGAGAGAAGCCTTGAGAGGCGTGTTGGAAACTACAGGAATACACGTTAGATACTACGACCTCAGTCCGCAGGAAGGAACTGAGAGAGGATTAAATTAAGCACCAATAGGAGTATACGGTAGATAGTAAGACTATAGGTACATGTTAGCACATGTAGAGGTAGAGGAAACGAGCGTGACGTACCCTCAGTCCACATGACGGAATGGAGAAAAGACTGGGAGTGAAACGACGTCGCGCGTCGAGTATAAAAAGAAAACTAGCTACTGTCGCATGCCATCCCGCCAGCCCCTCCTGTCGTTGTCTCATCGCCTTGAAACCGCGGAGGTGGTGTTCTGATGTTTGTGTCTGAGTGTGGTGCTTAGGGCAGTGAGCCAACTCAAACACAAAGTAGAGCCGACCTGCCGCTCGCAGAGGCAAGCTACACTACCATGGCCCGGCGCCGAAAGTAAGTTGGCACGATGACGGGCCGCGGTTGCTGGAGGACGCCAAAACCGATGTTCACGAGAAGGAACACGGATGACGGCGCAGCATATGGCAGTGCCACAATCCCAATTGTTCCGTTAAGTCCGGAGACGACCTACGATCTTACAGCAGTTTGTTCCGCGTCGAGGCTGCAACGCGGATGGATCTGCACGAAACGAGGGAACGCGCGCGATACATCAAGACATGTTATATTTAGCATTGGATATCGTCGCAGGAAAGTACCTAGACGCACAAAAAATGAATACACCGTCCGTGCAGGTGGCCATGGCCAGCTGGATGTGGTACGCAATAAACAATCAATCTCTAACAAATCCATCCTAGTCCGCCAGAGAGCCAATTGGCAGTCTTGGATCCTAACATTGCAGCAGAAACGGCTGGTCGCCATACCGTCTCGGTCGCGCGCAGCGCAGGTTAAGCTGACCTCTGTGCACCGTTCTCTGCCTGACCTGCCAAACTCTGGTGACGATGTCATTGTCACCGTCGCCTATTCGTCGTAGCTAGGAAAATTTAAAATTTTGGGCATGGCTCTTGATTATCACGGAATAGCAGTCACGGAAACAGCAGCCACGGGAAGCTGAACAGCATGCGCGGAGCGCAGCGAAACCACCTCTTGTATCCACCGCTCAAGCTCACGTTAGATTTAGTCCCTGGTCGCATACATAACCCTGTTTCTCACAATATGTCTGGCGCCATGGGATTATCCACGCGGAGGTTTGTTGTGGCCAGATGGCCGCCGCCACCTCTGAATTGAACGTAATTCGACGCCACTTAGGGTAGCTCACGAGCAGACGAGCTTCAAGTTTCCGATGTCAAGTGAAGCCTGCGGTGATTTCCACCCCACCCTCGGTTGTACGGAGCTAAGTATCGTATTGAATTGAGATTGTGAAGAGCAGGAAAGTGTATTTGCGCAGATGTGTGAAGAGGGTATGGTACACAAATGATAATCATCCGTCGAACACATCGTCACTGCTCAGAATCGGAGCCGTGGTCAGCCGCAATAAGCGTCGTAAGTGAAGGGATTGGAAGCTGAGCCCTCGAGGAAGATGATACATCCTTGCTTCCTCCGACCCTCCGGACCTTGACTCGTCGGCCGTCCTGGTCCTCGTCTGTGCCTGAATCACCATCAACGTTGGCAGTGTCTCCGACTCCTCTCCCTTTCTTCTCATTCCCGACGCCCTTCGGCTTGACCAGTCTGCGTGTCCTCTTCGTGGTGTCCTTGAGAAGTGAAGTGGCGTCTGCTCAAGGATGGAAATGACAGCCATGATACTCTGACTAAGCTGTCCGTTCACAGCTGACCAGTCCATCGTGATTGGTTCGGCCACCCCTGGCTTGAGGTCCTTCTCCGCGTCCTTTGAAAGCGTCCACCAGGTCGGAGCACATAAA